TCAACATTTATCAGGCAGAACAAAATTAGCAGAGCGTCAAAACTAGAACTGCAGTCAGTCCCAAAGAAGGATGTCTTCATCAGCCTTCCGTACAAAGGTGACTCTCAGAGTGCAATCCTTAAGCAGAGACTTAACGCTGCTGTTAGAAGGACTTACTATGCAGCCAGGGTTCGAGTAATCGAAACCACGAAGCCCGTATATTCCCCCAAACCCCCACAGCATGCGAACGATAATTTCACATCTCATTGTATCTACCAATTCAAATGTACATGTGGTGACACATACATAGGGAGGACTAATAGATCCATGCAAGTAAGGGCCTCGGAACATATTCCAAAGTGGCTTCAGAAGCAAATTAAATCACCTGAACCTATAAATGTTGGTAGCAGACGTCCAAGTTCTTCGATAGCCAAACATATCGTTGAGACAGATCACAAGATTGATGTGGCTACTCCCTTTACACCTATTTACAAAACATGTTGGGGAGGGATCCTGAAATTTTTTGAAGCCTTAGCTATAAGGAAGTTGAAACCACCTTTATGTGTTCATAAACAATTTGTTGTCACATTAAATCTTCCTTGGTAAATTCAACTATTGAAAACCAAGTTCGATGTACTATTATTTTTTCGCTCTATTGATTTTCATTGTTATTCGGCCTTTAAGTCAGCCTTCCTACCTGACCCCTTTTTATTTTCTCACCCCTTATCTTCATGAGTTTTTATATAAATACCTATGACAAGTACGTGTGTGTGTGATCAGATAGTTCGAAATGTGTTGCGTAAATACGTTACACACGGTTCAGACAATTTACGTCTTCTTATTGTTTTGTCGAATATCAAAATTCTCAAGAAAATTGAAAGGAGAATCTTTAATTATTCAGGATATGTATCAAAATCTTAGACTAAATGGTTCAAATATACCCCGTTTATATGATCTGCTGAAGGTTCATAAAGACGGTCTTCCTCTTCGTTCGAAATTGGATATGCTAAATATTTACCCTATTCCTAATTATCGAAGACTAAACGATGGGCTGGATTCAAAACTACGACCGGAACAGGCTGAATTCAGGAAGAGCAAAGCATGTGAGGATCAAATTGCAACGCTATGCACCATCATAGAAAATGGTATAGAATGGCAGTCAACTCAACTTCATCGACTTTGAAAAGGCTTTCGTTGGATAGCGTCGACTGAGAAGTAATTTGGCAGGCAGCTGTTTCAACACTACGGTTTTAGTGCCACAAACCTTTATCAACTTCATTCAACACCGATATGCTATATGATGCTACATGTCAAGTGATTGACGGTGGAAAGCTCAGTGATGCTTTCGAAGTGAAGATAGAAGACAAGGTTGTCGCCTACTATCACCGATCATCTTCCTGATTGTGGTAAACTGAATCATACAGCAAACCTTGAGGAGCGAAAAGATGGGCATACGCTGGCTGGGCTTATCAAAGGAGCTTGGAAAATTTGGATTTCGCCGACAACTTGTGTCTAGTATCGAAAAACTCAAAGATCTACAGGAGAAAACTAACAAGTTGGCAGAAGAGGCAGCAAAAACGGGACTTCATTGAAGTGAACGTAGCAAGACGGAGGTGATGAAGATACCCAACCACCACCACCAACAACAACAGTCAGGACCATTAACGGGAGAAATCTAAAGGAAGTTGTCTCTTTCACCTACCTCCACAAGCAGCATCGTTTCAACTACAGGTGGCACAGGCACAGATGACGACGTCAAAGACAGGATCGGAGAGACAGTAAGACAAGCCTTACTGCATTAATCTGAAATCGGTGTGGAGATAGACTGCACTCAGTATAAAGCGTGAACAACATCCGAATTTTCAATACCAATTCAATCAAGTCACTGCTTCTATATGGTTCAGAGACTTGGTGCCTTTCGAAAAGCATTTCCAACGAACTACAGACATTCATCAATAGCTGCTGCCTACACTCGATACTGAAGATGAGATGAGAAGGCCGGAAAGAATAAGCAACAAGGAACTCTAGGAATGAACCAACCAAGAACCCGTCGTCCAAGAAATATGCAGAAGAATAAAGTGGAGATCGATTGGATTGGGCATATGCTGAGAAGGCCAATTGGGGACATCATGCATCAGGCCAGGCCCACGAGTGGAATCCAAAGGAGAAACGATGAGCTGAACATCCCAGGCGAGGGTGACATGGAGATCATATGAGGGAGGAAGAACTGAAAGCTTGTGGGCAATCGTGGAGCCAGGTTGAAAGAGAAGACTGCAGAGAATAGAGTGAAATGGAGACGTGCTACTGAAGCCCTATATTCGACTAGGAACCCAAGGGACAAATAATGACAATAATACTCATCGAGGTGGCCTGCTAAAATGTTTGAACCGGTGAGATTAACTCTGTGCAAATATAGTCTTCTCGATGAACTTGGTTTTGTTCGCTGCATCGAAGAAATCAACTTAATGGCTAAGCGTATGATATCGCTTGGTGTTTTTTTCTTTACTTATTAATGTTTCACTTCGTATCGATCTGGTTTCCCCCTTACTTGGCCATGAAGGATGATGCTCGGCGATTCGACGACGAACTTGCCTAACTGTACGTCCAATGTAACTAGCTCCACAGGAGCAGTTGAACTGGTAAATGCATATAGAAGAGGAGAAGTCAGGGAGTCTGTCTTTAGTTCGTGTGGTCATCATCGGCCGGCTGTAGAAAACACAACATAACTCGGTGGCATTAAATGATCTTCTCATAGTATTTCTTAAGCGTTGTGTCACAATTTCGCTGATGATGTCATCTCGAAATTATAGTCTTAGGAACAATGATTTCTTGGAGACTGTAGGCATTCTGGTTTTCATTTTGGATGTGTCCATATTCTTAGCCGGGAACGTTTCTGGATATCCATTACTACTGAGTAGATCGTGGATAATTTGCTGTTCGTCAAAAATATCATCTGAACAAATGAGTCTAGCCCGATGGACCAAACATTTAACTAGTTTTCGTTTATATTGCAAGGGGAAGAAACTCAAGAAGTGGGTGTATTGACCTGTTGACGTTGGCCGATGATGACCACATGAACTAAAGACAGACTCCCTGACTTCTCCTCTTCTATATGCATTTACCAGTTCAACTGCTCCTGTGGAGCTAGTTACATTAGACGTACAGTTAAGCAAGTCCGTCGTCGAATCGCCGAGCATCACCCTTCATGGCTAAGTAAGGGGGAAACCAGATCGATACGAAGCTCAATACTCTCGCATCTGATTGACACCGGTCACCAAGTTAACATTCATAATGCCTTTAATGTTCCACTTGTTGTAACTGTTTGTTATTTATGCGAGTACATTGATCTGAATAATATTAATATTGCATTACCTATGAGTAACCTAAAAGAACTGATATTAAGATGTACGTTTAGCGTACAGTTCAGATTTAATGATGTGATATATAATCAGATGGATGGAGTCCAACGGGGTCTCCACTAGACCCTTTCCTGGCTGATATATTCACAGTAAAGATTGAAAATGGAGCACTTAAAGAAATGATCTCGGAACTTTATTTGTATAAGATGTACACTGACCATACTTTTCTTATTTGTGACGAAAAATGTCTAGTAGACGAGTTGCTAAGACGTTTCAATGATTTTCATCCGTCTATTAAAGAGTTAAATCCAACGTTCCACTTCCTAGACGTAATGTTAAAGAGAAAAGATGATGACTCGATTCATACGTCAGTCTATCAAAAAACAACTTGAATTGCTCTGTAGTTAGGTACCTCTTAGTTGTAAAATAAATCTCGTTTACTCACTGTGTTCTAGAATCAATAAAATCTGTTTAGAAGACATGGTGAATATTGAACAACACTAGTGAATAAACAATACCCATGAAAGATTTATTGATAAAAACCTAAAGAAACAAATCCTCCATCACTGTATTACAATTCCTAAAAGAAATCTTAACCATGAATCTGGAATTCAAAGAGGACACCACAGTCGAAGTGCTGTCTGTTAAAGTGTATCAATAGTACCTTTTATGCTAGACTGCTATTGATATTCTCTAGCTGTCATCTGATCCAACAATGTGTAAAGAATAGCCTACTACTCATGTCTATAAGTATGATATGTGCTCTGGACCATTAAAGTGAAAAGTACTCTTTGCAATATTGGCCGGAACCTATATACCTGAGCTCACCCTCAGTGGTGAACCGTCGCAAGTAGTAGAAACGTTCGTGTATCCGAGTAGTTGTGTGAGTGGTGTAATTCCTAACCAGATATTGAAAGCCAGAGTGGTATACGTCAATCTGGGCCACCTTTGGCAACATCACGACGTTAGTATGACAGTAAAAGGTCGGATTTACAATGCTTCGATGCGAGCAGTTCTACTCTATACATGTGAAACCTGGCCTCTTCAAGCTGAGGATATGCGACAAGTCTGTGTGTTCGATCATTGTTGTCTCCATAGGATTCTTCATATCCCATGGCGACACCATGGAAGTAATCCTCAGGTACAACAACGTGTGTTTGGGTATGATGGAGATTGTCATCCAATAAATAAAGTTACTTCGAAACACAGGCTTCCACATGTGTTACGCTGTCATCTTAACGGCTTCCGCACAGTTCATTGTTTGCTAACCCTGGGACTAGATGGAAGAAGTAGAGAGGGTGGTCAGTGTATGGCACCGTGGGATGAAGGACAGTTGTATCCTGACTCTCTGGATGGGTAACGAGAAATCACACAACTCGGTGGCTTTAGATGTTATCAAATATGGCTCAGAATCGAAACCAGTGGCGCTCATACTGTAACTTCCTTCTGCTGCTGAAAAGTAATGAATATTTCGTTTTGGATGTACCTTACTGAACTGGCTTTTTAATCATTCTATTCTTCTTGTTTTATTTTTTATCCACTTCCCTCCATAACGTTGTTATACTATTATGTGTGGTACATTTCTTGGTACCCTTGCTGTATCACGTTTGTGTTCCAATAATGATAATAGTAATAATAATATCCACACCTATGTGCACTTACTGGTAATTGGCAAACTCAAACTTCGATAGACAAAGCAGAGTTCAAAGCCATAATTCACTGAACATTGAATATCACAGCTGGATATTCTAAGATATCTCGTGTCAGATAAAACCATAAGGATACATAGATTACTGAATTTGTTTGAATCAACAATCATCTTAGATACATTGTACATTTCCATACTAATAATGAACTGCTGGTTCTACTCTATTTTCATTTATTGTTTGAAAAAGAAGAATAGAAAGGAAGTTATGTTAAGATTTTGCTCAAAATACGTACTGTCCAGGACTTCTCCATTGCCTCACTTTCCTGTAAAATTCGTCTGCATTCATTTAAGTTACCTCCAGTTGCAGCTATCAATGGAATATAACGTTCTTTACGATTATCACCAAGTCCAGAAGGTAAACGATAATTATCTTGATGATAATTGTTAAACAGACGAGATAAACTTTGATATTCTGCTTCCCAAAAATTAATATCCACTTTGTCTATTGGCATAGATAAACATTCAGTAATACGACGTTGAATCTCTTCTTTTAATGGCTTTTTTCGATTACATGTATCAGAAGGCCAACGATTAGCTAACTCTTGAAATTTTGTGAATTGTTCCAGTGTTGAAGATACACTACTATACAATCTATTATAAATTATACTATTGATGAATTGAAAATTTCGACAAGATCCATACATAGATCGATGGTAGATAAACGATATCATTTTACCAAGAAATGAGAACAGTGAAATTTAACTGTAAAGTAAAAGAGGAAAAAAAAGGTAATAACCTTTCTAAAACAAATCTGAAACCACAAACTTCAATGTCTAGTTAATAAATTAAGAAATATTGATTTTGGTGACTACTAGAGGAATCTGCGACGCACAAGTAATTCGGCCGTCTGTATAACAAGAGGAAATTGTAAGTATCATTAAAACAATTGATACCTGTTCCACAAATGGTCGCTATCATGCCCCACTGGCTTAATAGACAACTCTTTGGTGTTTGAACTGAAGGGTACTGTAGTGGAGGTACATCCAACTAATGAATCCCGAACAGGATAAAACATGCATCCTAGATCCCTCTACTAGTCAGTAAAATCAATATAACATGAATGTTTGGTAGTATTCATGCATCCGGATAGGAGCCTATCTGCTAACAGGGGTCGAACAATTCGACCTTGTCTAGCTACGGGAAATTCCAAGTATCATTACAATAAATTAACAAATAGTTAAAGTATACCACTCAACTGACTATTTATACGAATACTCAAGCTACAGATGTCAAGTAGTGAATACATCTGTGCCACTGTTTCCGATTTTCAGCTGTCACCAACAATCTTCAACCACTTATTCCTTTCATCTCGGAGACCCCAACCAGGCAGTCTAAATCTCTCCACATGGCTCAAGTCAACGGTAAGAGACTCCATCGACTGGTACCAGGTTTTGGACCGGCCACTCTAAACACTCTTCCAACCTAATCCAACTTCCCCTAACATGATATGTCGAGGTAGGCAATGGCTAGGTATGCGTAGTGCATGTCCAAACCATCTCAATCGATTTGGTTGTCTTGCCCAGTATCATCCATCTGACCTCAACATTGCTCACACGGTGATTTCACCACACACGAGCAATGCTACGAATACACCCATGATCGAAATCCTGTAACCGCTTCATATCGTTCACTTATAAGAGCCATGTCTCGCAGGTGTACAACAGGAAAGAACGGACTGCAGTGCAGTTTGCTCGTCCTTGGATAGAAAGTCCGATGTCTGGCCAGTTGGCTACACATGTGACACAAGTTAGCAAATGACAAACGGACTTTCTATATTGGAGCTGAGATTAGGTCAGCGACCAACCCATTCGGGTTGATGCAACTCCCAAAGTAAGTGAAGTGGTTGATACATTCCACCAGTCCACTCCCTATCATTAAACTGGGAGTAATTGGACCAGACCAGTTCTGGAGCATCATCTCACATTTTACAGTAGCGAAACGCATATCAGCCAAACATACTTAGATTTCTGCTCAACGCGTTCACAAGACCCTGCATGTTGTCAGTGTCTTCATTCAACAGGACAATATCGTCAACATACTCTCAATCGGGAGCTGTGGCTCACTGGTTCAGGGAGATGACTGCTAAGCATTGGGTCACTAGTTTGAGCTCAGCTCCAATCATTCCAAAGTGAAAGGTTGGGTAAAGCGTAATAGGCCTAACGTTAGTATTAGGGGTGAAGGCGAACGAGGAGACAGAGTTGAAGGGGATAAATTGTGTTTAAGTCTTGTATACTGTTGGAAGCGTGCGGGCGGTTGACACTTTCTGGCTGCCCACATGGTGGAAGGCTATTTCTTATTAAGGTACGAAGGTGATTAATGAATTTGAATGAATTTCTTCGAGAAAGAATTCGAAAAAACCTTTAAAAGTTACCACTGAAGTTACTTGGCTTATGAAACCTGCCAAGAAAGCTTCGAAGACCGTCAACAAGCAACTCAAGGATTTCCCCTCAATGTCCAGTGTGATCTTCTGGAATGTTGAGTCAGCGGACAAAGACCCTTCAATACGTCCTAGGCATGATCCCAAGCTGGTTGAGTCAGCCATGAGATATATCCTACCTGAAACGTCTAAAGGTGTTCACATATCCAACGTAGTCAGGTTAGGTAAAAAAAAAAATAATGATAAGCCCGATGAGAGTTAGATTTTGGAGGTAGATCTAGACAACAAAGAAGAGACAGATAAACTCTTGAGTATCACATCCAAACTACGAAGTTCGGACATCAGGATTCGGCCTGACTGGGTTGTTGAGGACCGGATAAAAAGAATAGAAACGATCACTGAACTTAAGGCTCGATAAATGAATGGAGAAAATCTGAAAATTGTGGGTTTTTGGGTGGTGAGGTCCTAGAAACGAATGCTTCCAAGGCATATATGGGTGGGTCATGGGACTCTTCAAACATTGAACGTAATCTACACAAATGTTTGCAGTATTAGAAATAAAATGACAAACCTCGACGCTTTAGTCTGTGAACTATGTTCCGATGTAGTGACCCTTGCTGAAACCTGGCTAATAAAAACCTTTGGTTTTACGCCACTTCTAACAGGGTATTACTGTGTAAGGACAGATAGGGTTGTGGCAGTACAGTACTCTATGTTCTTGATATTCACATACAATCAGTCACTTCTGAAGCAAAAGCATATGGTATCTGCGAAGTGGCCAGTTGTAAGCTGAAGTCAAAGCAAGGTTCAGGTAGTTTACCGTAGTCCATCTTGCCTTGAAAATGACTTCATGACTAGAGTAGAAGTAATAAATCCCTAAAAGCTGGGGAACTGAATGCTCCACACATCAACTGGATGGAGATTATAGGCTTAACCTACAGCAGATGCTTCGAAAATGATCTACTTTTAACGGTACTGGAATCCACTTTAGTTCAAAAAGTAAATTGTGCAACGTGATGCTATTTTGAACACAAGCCATCGTTATTAAATTGGTTCTAAACCCCTCAGTGTGAAGATATTGTGTATCTGAGATGCTTCCCTTCGTTAGCTAACAGTGATCATATAGTGCTAACTTTCGGTATGAGTTTACAACTGTTTCCTCTAGAACTGTGTGGCGCGCAGACATTTCAAGAATAAGGAATTGCGCAGTCGGTAACGATTAGACTATTGATAAGGACTCACCAATCGAGAATACATGGGATAGGTTTGAAATTTTATTTGAAGCAGTAACAACGCCATTTGTTCCATGATCGACCCTAAGAAGATCTTCACATTGCCCTTCATGGTTTAGTAAAGACACCTAGAAACGTTTATGGGACTTGATTACAAAAACTAGACTGGAAACCTTTAAAACAAAACTGGGTACTGTAAGATCTGTAATCTCTGCAAAATTTTGATTATACAGTGTCGAATGTCCTACGAGAAACAGCTTGTAAACAATTGCCAAAACTGTCCTAAAAGACAGTTCGCATTCATTTGAAGGACTGAAAAAAAATGTCGAATTCCCTCTCTTCTGACGGATGAAAAGTGCCATAGTCTGGCGGAATCTAATCTGTTAAAAGCTGAATGTCTATTGGATTATGTAAGTGAAGTCTGCTCCATAGATCATGATGATGAAGTGCTCAGTAGTGATATCAGTACTGCCCTACAAATGGATACAGTGTTCATCACAAAAGAAACAGTCTTATAGTTGATCATTAATCGTAAACCTAGAAAGTCCCCGGATGCCGATGAGTTGCACCCCAAACTGCTATCTTTGCTAGCAAATACTGTTACTGATCTAGTCACTGACCTTTTCAACATATCCCTATCTCAGACTTGTCACCCTAAAGACTGAAAAGATGCAATAAACAGCTCAGTTTTTAAGACCGGTAGTCCCCAGTTGGTGGCTAGCTATTACTCTATGAGTCTAACTAGGATAGTTAATAAGGTTTTAGAAAAAACAATTTATAATAAGGCAATTAACCATGTTGAGTCAAATAATGTTTTGGCACCATAGCAACACGGTTTTCGTACTGGACAGCAATGTCTAATCAACCTCAACGCGAGAGAGACATGAGTTTCAGCCCGAGATTTCAAGCTGTCAATAGATCCCGTGTCTATAGACTTCAGTAAAGCATCCAATAAGCCGTCTCATGTAAAATTACCAGGAGAGCTCTTCTCTTCCTGAGTTGGTGCTGTAATACAAGTCTGGATTAAGGATCTGTAGGATAGAAGACAAAAAAAGAGGGTTAATGGGACACATTACAAGTGGAACCTGTTATGAGTGGTTCCCCAAGGGACTTTTTTCTTGTTGTATGTCGACGAATTAACGGAAATGGTCAACTCTTTAGTGCTCCCATTCACCGATGATGTAAAAGTTTAGAGAATCATAAGCAGTGATGCTGATAAGTATGCACTTCAAGTGGTGTATTATAATGAGGCTACAGCAAAATGCCTTCGTGTATTGTGGTCCATCCACAGAGCTTTCAAAAGTTTTGACCGAAACATGTTCAGAATACGGTATTCTACTTACGTTAGACATCACTTGGAATACTGCATTCAGGTGGCCGACCCATGCCTAAAAATGGATGCTGACATACTCGGGCATGTTTAAAGGGAAGGTACTAAGCTTGTGACAGGCTTTTCGAATCTTCCCTGAGAGGAACAACCGGATTATCTAAATTATTCCCACTGTCTTACCACAGGATCACAAGAAAATCGAAAGGCAGCGACCGAATCACTTTAGTATGAATCTGGGTTTCTCCCATCGAGTGGTCAACGACTGTAACTCCTTACCTAAACAAGTAGTATCGGCAACCTCAGTCAACACGCTCAAGGGGAAACTAGATCTTAACAGAGATATCTTCTGCAAGGATTAACACAGGCCAAATGACTTATAATCCTTCTTACTGAAAACTGAACGTAAAATGTGGTCTCGACGAGCTACATTTCGTTGCTGTTGAACCAAGATTTCCATCCTAGGCAAGCCAATACAAACATTTGAAGACTAAGAAACTGAACAGCACGCAAAATTCCATAACACTCAGTCCAAAGCCTTAGTTTTATGCGGACCCCCAGTATAACGACATTTACAAAACAGCCGCACTGGAAATTCAATTTCCAATATCTTTTTATGAGCTAGTGTCAAATTATTGACTAATTCGAGCTCGGTTCTTGGTCCTGTGGGGCAACTTCAGGTTTCTGGTGAAGTCTAATGCACCCAGTCTACCCATAAGCCTGCTGTAACTATCCTTATCCAGACAGGTGGTTGGGAGTTGATTAAATTTGTAGTGATAGAAATATTTTTCCAAAGACTAGTATAAGTGGGTCCCTCAAGTAACATACGATCATGCAGTTGCCCGGACTGGCCTCAGAAAAAGGGGGCAAAGGTAAGAAGATATCCATTCGAAACGAAAGAGAACAGTGAGGGGAAAACAAGTTGAGAATGAGCTGAAAGAGAGTTAAAGTTAAAACCTAAAAAGATTCAGGGCAGACAGCAGTGATCGAGACATAGCCAAAGTTTCTGGCACCAAAATGCACCCAAGGCCGAAGTGAATAAGCAGATTAAGCTGAATTCACTAAATACTAACTAAATAGATTTCATGCTCACCTCCAGAGGCCAGGTAAATCAGATAAAGGTTTTTCCTAATAATCACTATCACATTTATTTTATTTGAGTACATTGTTCTTTCGAGCTTCTTCTTAAATAAAAGTCCCTTTGATTTGTCTTTTTTAGCAGTGCTTACACGTTAGGTAAGGTACTGATTAAGCAGGTGCCAGAGCGAATCGAGTTTAGTAGAGCTGGTTAAGAGTTACCTAATGGTGGTACGTCCAGTTTCCTACAAACTAAATCCTGTTACACGTAGTGAGATCACAGTGTCAAAGGAAAGACAGGAAACAAGTATGATTATAGGATAAATTTAAGAATGGAAATCTTGGTGTTTTTGTGTGGGTATTGCAAATGAAAAGGCCTAGCAAAGAAGTGTATGATTGAGTCCAGTTCACAATGATGGTATAGAGTTGGCTGTACTGGACCGTGCGGACTTAGTTAGTTGTATCAGCCTAGCCCACTTCCGGCTGGATGAACGCAAGGCTAGCGTCAATGAGTACCTGTCTGACCTCTGCCCGATGCTGTCGACAGACGGAGCAGTAGCAGTCTCGGAAGGCATTACGCTCCGATGGCGGCAAACTCGTGTGGAGAAAAAGTGTGGACGCACACTGGCTCTTGCTCTCTGACAGGTGATTCTCCTTGGATAACCATTAGGATTACAATGATGGCCGTTCACTGGGATTCTACTGCTTCAATGACTTGGACCACTTGGTGTTTTGTAAGCCTTTATAAAGTCGTCACGTAACCCACATCAACTAAGAGTGGAGCACTAGATCTCTCAGGCTGTCCTCATACGTTTTCTGCCGATTTTCCGCAATACCCCTCGTTGCCCGCTTCTGGACGTCCTCCATGAGGTTCACATCTCTTTAGAAGTATTGTGGTAGAATGTTGTGAAACTCTGTGTGAGGTAGTGGAATACTGGAGTAATCTGTTCTTGATCGTAGCAGAGAGCGGAGTCAGTTGGAAGAGAATTCAAAGCTGAGTAACGATTTCAACCCACATATCATTATTGGTGTGCCTGTGAGTTCTCTTGGCAGGAGGTATCGTGATTGTTTGCAGCACATTTCTGAGGTTCGCGGTAGTTCAGTGATCAGGTCACTTGTAGATGAGATGCAGGGATCCGGCGGCAAACCAGCTGATTTCTGTGGCTTCGTGAAGGGGGCGAATGCATTTCTGAGTGACGGTGAACTAACTGATCTGGGTAGGCTAATGTATTTGGTGAGGGAGTGCACTGCCGAGATGGCTCGAGAGATCAAATTTTTCAGGATATGACTTCTGGAAAAAGGCTATAGCAAGGCATGATGAATACTACGTCTTCGATATGGTAATCCCTTTGCGGTGGTCAGAAGTGCATTGGAGAACGTCAAGGGAGGCGGAAATCAAATTGAGGACGACTCGAAAGACCTCTCAGCCCCTCGGATAATTTGCCAAACCATAGAATAGAGGCACGCTAACGTCCCTAACATAACACAACGAGCCGTATTCTCCAAGTGTTACTGAGGTGGTCTCAGGGCACCTACGAAGCTGCTGATAGCGCGAGAGGATTAAAGTTAGTGCACGGGTGGAGGACGAGGGAACAGACCCCAAATTTCAGAATATTCTGAAAGTTGCTGGAGATCTTTCAGCCCAGACCACGAGCAGATTTATTTTTATTTATACCCCCTCCTAGAGGTAGAAACAGTGGGAAGTCATAGCAGACTGCACGCCATGGAAAATATTGAGAAAGATAAAATCAGAGACGAATGCTCGTTCCTTGGTGGTGTGCACGTGGTTGTCAGCTGCCAGAACTTTCCCAGGATGTCTGGCGCATAGAGTTTCGTTCTCGCTGCATAAGGAGAGAGAACATCGAAAAAGGTTATAATAATATTGGTATAGTCCATACAACATAAGTTACACGAATACAGGCCAGTTCACAGATTTGATCACTTTGGTAACGAGAAATGACTGTTATGCACAATGTTAAGCTATTCATTAGATACTGTTATTTACGGCGCACAGGAGGCGCGTCTAGAGAAAGAACGTTAATGCTTCCCAGACAGCAAAGAATAAAACAGATGAAAACCAACATTAGTGTTCAGCGTACTGAGGCAAGCTCAGATCGGAGATGGGAATTATTCGGCTATTGTCTGAATCTTCCAATATTCTTGAAAGTAGGGAGGGTGGCACAGTCGTGACCTTGGATTGTGTGCGTTGGTCACAAAGTTGTCATGGCAGCGAACGGCTGCAGCTTGTTTACCCGGGGTTCTGAAGAAGGCCCACAACATATGCTGTGGATGTTCATTGCGTTCACCTTTCTCTCCTTCATTCCCTCTTGGTTGCTGTTGCCTACATGAGGTTCCAACTGGCCCTGAGTTCCGACACAGAAGGGGAATGTGTTACTGGAGTTTTGAAAAGATGCTTGAAATGTATTGGCTTCGAATGCTGATATCATTTGAACCAAGCAGAGTGCTTAGTATGAGGAGGCATCGATCGGTTTTCCAGAACGTACAAGGGAGTTTTACGATCAGAGTGTTTGGTTACAACACCCGGGAATCAGCCCGTTTCTTCTGTCACTCATAGATGCAGAGAAGTTTCAGTTTGGAAAATGAGATGTATGTCAGCCAGATCAGTTGAATTTTCTCGTCAGCCCTGTGGCTAGGAGTCAAGATCACACACGAAGGCAGTGAGTGGAATGAAGTGGTAGTTGAGCAATGAAGAACTAATGGAACCGAGACTGAGTACGCCTGTGGTGTGTCTGTGCTCCTTTTGGCTCTATCCCCATTGCAGGTCCGCTTGAAGCAATCCAGATCATTTGCTGGATATGGCAAACTGCTTTGCAGTTTATAATAAAAGAGATGGACCTCTGTCCGTCGAGGAGTGGCAATGCTGTTCACATACTGGAACATTCGCATTTGCTTGGAATCAGCTACTTCCCTTACATTGGTTCGCCATAGTTTCGCGACGGTGTTACGTGTTCACAAGCTCACTGCGAATGTGGAAGCAATACGATTGGATGTAGTTCTGAAATCTTTAGTGAACAATGAACAACAGACAACGTGCACATATTCATTTATGAACTTTTCTTCTTTATCCTCATAAAAAGGTACGGCCTGTAACTGGGGGAGCATTGGCTTCAAGATTTGTTTTTCTCCAGATAGTACGCGCAGTGTCTACATACAAGTCCTGGGTTTGTTAATGCAAAGACAACACCTCCACCTGTTTATTTTGTCAATTGATGAATGCCTATTCCGCCGAAATATTTCATCCCGGTAACATGCAACAAGTATAACTTTTTGTGGATGAGTGCAGACTGCAACCATCCGGCCTTAAGAAATGTTTAATCCACATAGAAGCTCATGCATACCTTGAAAAATGATGCGTGACTGCACATTATTACCATTATATGAAAACCCTTGAGGAATCCAGCCAGCAATACTGCTTTGGGAATGAACTTTTTGAACTACTTTTCCTCCATTTTTGTATAATCCTTTACGTGTTCACTAAACACGATTTTCCTTTCTTCTAGAAAGCCTTAATACGCCTAAGACCGAACACAGAAATGCAATGTGTAACTTAACGTGCAGCACTTGTATGTGATGTGAAATCTTTCCTTTAGCCCAGAGATTGCCGCCACCTGGGATGAAGAGAGATAATAGACAACTTCGCCAAGGATTTTTCGTCACTAAATGTAATAACCAGATCAGTTAAAATGACACGCACCAGCGAATTCAGGAACAAATACTGCCATTATTATTACGTAATATTGCAACGAAATTGTTTTGCCAGCTTTTAATGAACGCCAAGCTTTTACGCTGTGATAAACTTTATGAATAAACGTCAGGTTCCAGGCTGAAGAGTCGTTTTGCCGTGTTATCCTGGAACTGGGTATTCATTATTAGTGTTCTGAAGCCAGTAACCGTTGTATCCCCAGTAGAACAATGCAGTCTCACTGACGCTGAGCTCTAGTTGTGAATCTGATAACACCTATTTGTCACAGAAATTGGAAACAGTAGTATGCTAATTTGTAGCTGGGGTAACTGTGTCCTCGACTAAATCCCAAGGCGAGCCCGGGTCCGCAGATCACTAAGCAGACGGCCAGTCTGTGCTTCCTAGTTTTGAAGTATTTTAATGTTAAGTCCTAACGCAGTTGACAGTCTTAGGTCACCACGGTGCTTCAAGTACCATGACAAGAAAGGGCTCACGGGTTCCCGGGTGTGACCACTGCAACCAAAGGTTATACTTGCCATAAGGTCACACAACGCTGGGTCCGTTGGTGAAAATTGGGCACACCATAAATGTGTGTTCCCTTAGTTTGCATGGAGCAGTCTATTTTCCATGCTCACTTGATTTCACCTGCAGTAAATGAAACCCATTCGTCACCGCATAAA